AAAATCTTCAAACATGCACAAATATACAGATTTTTTAGATATATGCAATTTGTCATGAAATTGGATAAAATATGCAAAAAATGCATAGATATGCACCTTGCATATTTTCCGCCCTCTAGTGATCACACAGGCATTTGTTTGGAGTTACAGATTCAAATGTATGTTTTTGTAATTTGTAAACAAATTAATAATTCGAGGTTATAAATTTCTAAATATGTACCGTCATTCAACGATTTATCCTTTTCAATCTGATTGTCACTTTCTCTATTTATCCATGGTTACCGGAATTTTAAATAATTACGAAGCAACAGGTATTTACGTAATGTTAATTAGCCAGATTACCTTGAAAAACATTGCTGCCGTTTTTCTAATATTGTTTTTTGCAAATTTCCCAGTTTTTAGAACACCTCCAGAGGAATGGCGCCAATTTTGAATCACCCTGTATGTGCAGATTAATATGCTAGGTATATACATATTGTGTATATGTGCAGGTCAATATACGATGCTCAAATCAAATATTCCGGTAATATACATGAATGTATATCCACGGTATATTCAAAATTGGTTGAATATAAATTTTCAGTGTCCGCAGCAGAAAACTCGGGGACCTGAAATTAAATTCTCTTTTACTACTTACCAGATAATTCACATTTCTCTCGCCAGGTCAATAATAATGATAGAAAAATACTTAGGTATATAAAGAAAAATGGTTTAGTTTTTCATTATTTTAATTTTACCGACCTCTCTAAGTTTTGCTAATTCGGTCGAGAAGCCTATTAAATGCATCTCGCTAGATATACATATATATTTAAACGTGTTCGTTATGATACAGATTACGTCTTGCCTTAGATACATCAAATACAATTTTATATATTTTCAGACCTAAATGAAAAATATTACGTACTCTCAAATTATTTGCATTGTTTCTTCTTGTCCTAGTGTTAAACCTAATTTAATTGGAAAAAAATCGAGGTTCTGAGAATAACCGACTTGTGTTTGATTAAGTATGTTCCTACTTTAAGATAGGAAAAAACATAACTCTTTTGTTATGCTAGGTGATTTTGCAGTTTTAGGGTAATATCATAAAACTATTAACTGTATTTTGTTGTTTTGGCCATTATTAAAATTTGTAATTGCTTATAAAATTTTTGTTAAGAGCATATTGCGAAACACCTTAATTAGGATTAAAAATTGTTAAAGATGGATGGAGAACAAAATGAAAAAGAAAAAGCCACAGACCGGGAACATGCAAGGAATATAAAATAAGTCTACTGTTTTTCTGATAAAGGTTTGTTTTTTAGTTCACAGTCACACATCATTGCAACAACGGCAAAAATGCAGAAATATATTTTTTTATACATATATAGTTTCCTCCAGGTAACCCGGACGGTTCTCAAAATCTCTAGCCGAGGTGCGAAATTTCCGCTTGTCAGTGTCATATTTGACAGTAAATGTGGCGCAAATGGGGCTCCCATTTACTGAAATACCATCAATTTCGGTCCCCCCATTCCAAACGTGAGTACCCCAGGCCATTTCCGTTACTCTGCCCCCCTTCTAAACCCTGATCGCCCCGATTAGGGAATTCCTGGATCATGGTTATATCTGGCCAAACGGTGAATGTGGACAACTTTAAATTTTGCATGAGGGCTCTTCTGATTGCTCATCAACAGTTCAACGCCGCCGATGTCGCGCGGCTTTTCGCTGGTGTTGACTTGGCGCACCACGTTGTCCATCCATTGCATCAGCGGCCTCACCAGGTAGCAGAACTTGAACAGATCGCAAGTATCGGCCAGGTTTCCTCTGCGCTGCTCGCAGAGGAAAAATTGATGTCAGGTGTTTACTGGACATTGCGAACTTTATGCCAGTGACTAGAAGCCAGCATAAAGTTATGGAGGATCAACTTGCTGCACTGATTGCCCTTATGCAGGGACAGAAGGAAGAACAAGATCGACGTCACCGTGAACTGGTTGAAACGCTAGCTATCAGAGATGAGCAACTAGAGGCTAGATTAAACCGAAAAATGGAAAATCTTCGCAGGTCGTCGAGAGCCCTTGCGCGCTAGTATAAATACGGCAAGGCGACCGGAGTCAGTTAGTTAATCAGACATATACAGTGAAATATTTAAAGCGATATACAGAGTGTGTTCGATTCGCGAGCTATAGTTTTGAGTTAGTGATTGTTATAGTTAGTATTTGGGAGTTCAATAAATTGTTGTGCTTTTTTTATTGGTTTACTGGAATCATTCGAACCCCGGGAAACGTAACAATTGGTTACAATTAATTACAATATCATGTACATTCCCAGAACATACACATGTACATTCACTGAACATATGTATATTCTAACATTTCTGGGACATACATGAAACGTTCATAATAGATTCCATGTATGTCCTATGAATATGCATGTACATCACATGAATGCTCCAGGTAAATGCAGGCAATATTATTTTGCTATGTGGGTATTGTGTCTTTAGCTTTGTGTTACTCCATAGTCACCGGAGTTTTTAATAATTACGAAACAACTGGTATTAAGTATTGTTAATTAGGCAGATTACCTTGAAAAGTATTGCCACGCTCCTTTTAATCTAGCTTTATGCAAACATCTGAGTATTTAATAAGAATTTATTTTTTAAAGACAAGAACATGATTCTTCGGTGTCTGTCTCTTTTATAACCAAAGCTTGGTACGAGGTCCACCACAATAGAAAATGAATGAGGTTGGCGAGACCTCACCGTCAAAATTTTCTCAATTTTATTTGGTCACATAAGCTGGCAACAGTGCTCTGTGCACTGTCATTCCCTATCATTGAAGGTTCCTATTTTTTCCGCTGGGGATGGTGAGCGAGGAGCTAGGAGTGAGGAGCGACTCCCTGGGATGCTCCCAGCACTGCCTTCTCTCAAAGTCAAGAATAGACACCCAGGGTGTCTGTGCTTGGTTGTACAGAGTGTCGGTACTCACAGAAATGCACAACTACTGACACTTTCTCTAATAAATGTATAATTATATATTTTCAATATTATGCAATTGCTGGTTTTTAATAATAATATTTTTCCTATTTGACTTATTTGTGACGCTGTTATTTTTGCGTCGCAAAAATGTTTACTGCTTATAAAAACATTTGAGAATGTGTTCAATGTTGATGACATATGTTGTCTTGACCATTCCTCCTCCATCCATCCCCACCATAAAACTCCTGATCTTTGCCACCGAGGATCCCGTCTTCCTGACAAATGCAAGGGTCCGTCTCCACTCCAAGGATGAAAATTTGATGCGGGAGTGTGTGGAGGCCTCAAGGAAGCGCCTCCTAGTAGACGACCAGCGATGGCAAGCTCCTAATAGGTGGTATGATGGTTTCTCCGCAATTCCACATTGTGACTACACGGGGCTATCACCAATTCCTATTCGGTGTAGGTGTCTGGTCAGACCACAGTTATTTTAAGTTTCAATTGTGTTCCAGTGAGAGATGAGCTTTCTTAGAGCTGGAAGATTTTAATTTGGAAAGACAACCATTTGATTAAGAAGATTCTGGTTATGGTTTTGAGAATCAATTAGTCGCCGGACTACCTCAGCCTATTTATTGAAGTACATATTGCAATTCTGCTAAGAATTAATGAAAATATATTTGTTTACAATACTATCACACAACATAGAAGCAAATAATTAACCACTTTTGGAACGTTGTGATCGTTATAAATATGATTTTCTGGAGTTCCACTAGTTTCGGGAGTAAAAATAAACACACGTGTTCTTCGATGCCAGGTTTCAGCTGACACAGTAATCATACAGACATTTCTTTTGAGGTTCAATTTATAGACACCATCAACCAAATCTGCTGTAGCAAGCAATTGGCCTGTTTTGTTGTAAATCGTACATCCAGAGTCATGAAAAACTGCTTGATTTACCCTGGAAACTAGCTGACTTACCGATAAAAGGTTGGTTGAAAGTTCTAGAACACACAACACATTTTCCACTGTTACATTTTCCTAAAGATTGTGTAATTATCTCAATGTTCCCGGGACATTTCACTTGCAGCTTTTGTTTGTTTGCAACTATAATTTCTGAAATTATTGAAGGCGAAGGACTCTTTATCTAACTTTCGTTTGGTGACATATGGTTACTTGCCCCTGAATCCAAATAAAAATGTTCCTTACTGTAGTTTCCGCTCAGGAACACAGCAGTAAAGGCATTTTTCTCCGACGATTTCTGGTTAGACCTGCATTGTGACATGTAATGACCTGGTTTTTTGCACTTATAGCAAATTACCTTGCGTTTGTTCCAATGTTTATTTACATTTCGACAGTCATGGCTTCTGTCATTTGTCTTCCTTTCGTCATTGCTGGCGTTATCTCCCTTGAACTGATTTTGTAAACTGTCATGTTTTGCTGCAAAAGCACCTGTTCGAGTTCCATCATATGCGCTTATGTCTATTCCTGAATGTTCGATAGCCTTTATCATAGGTGAATATCTATCAGGCAATCCCGCCAAAATAAGAGACCCAACCCATTCATCGTCCATTTTGAAACCGGTTCTCCGAAGTCTCTGGGCTGATTCAATTACCTGGTTCGCATAATTATCCATTGACTGGCAGTTGTCGAGCCTCAATGAGATTAGGGATCTTAGCAATCCTATTTTACTTGTAAAACCAGTGTCTTCGTAAAGGCTTTTGATTTTCTCCCCAACTTCTTTGCACGTTTTTCCTTCTTTAACATGGCCGTATAGTGACGGATCTATAGTCAAAACCAATTTAGCTTTTGCTTTCGGTATCAGCACCGTATCAGTCTCACTACCGTCCACACACTTTGTTAAACCTTCTAAAATGAAAACGTTCTCCATGGCGAAACACCAATCTTTATAGCTTTCGCGTCCTATTAAATTCAGTACACTATTTAGATAGTTTACAGCCATTCCTACCGAAATTCTGAACAGCACGGTAACGAACAAAAAACTCGCGATTAGCGTTTTGGCCGTTTTCTTCACCCAGGAAAGGAAAAAAAGCTAGTCGATTTGCCCTGGGCCCATAACCTATTATGATATTATGGAAGTTCGACTAGTTTCGGTAGTAAAAATAAACACACGTGTTCTTCGGTATCTGAGAATAGACTAACTATCTTGATAATGAACAGTGTTGCCAAGTCGGCATTCTCCAGGTGGAGCCACAGAAGGTAAAAATAAATCTTTGGAACTACAATTCAACAATAATGACAATATTTGATGGATAGATGAATGGTACATTCTGTAAGCACATTCACTCAAACACGCATTAAGGTTACTGTGTCACATATTGCAAATGCTTTTATACAAGCAATTCTCAAACCTAACGAAAAATGTACAAACAACCAGCTATCATAAAGTAAGGGATATATTTCCAGTTATCATATATTTTCAACATTTTAATTTGAAATTTCGTCAGCAAGACTTAAACTAAATAATCGACTAATTGCATTCAATTGAGGCAAGTGTGAAAACGTCCTAAAAATAATTAAAACCAACAACAAAAAACCGGAAAATAATAAAGCATTTTAGATATATCCATTTCGTCAACACATTATGCCAACCGATAAATTCCCTCTTGAAGCTGACTGTGAAACTCACGTTCAATCTTTATTCTATAAATCAAGAGGTTTTTAAAAGATGTCTTTATTTAGTTTCAGTTTTTAATCGTCACCCTCCCATGCCGATTGTCGCATGATGGACAAATCGACGATGAGTGTTTAAAGCGCTCTTTCTATTGAAAGAAGCATTGCAAATTGTGCATTCAAAGGGTGGATTGGCCGCATGAGACGTCATATGGCTTTTTAGATTTCCTTTTTTTGAATACGTTTGGTTGCAATAATTGCACGAGTATTGTTGTTTCTTTGTTTTCCTTTTAAAATGCTCTTTTTGATGTTGATGGAGATCACGTATGCATTCGAATCTCAAGTTGCAAACGCTGCATTCGTGAGGGCGGTCGTCTGAATGAGTTTTCACATGTTCCGATAAACCCGAGGAACACGAAAACGCTTTATGGCAAATTTTACATTGATACTGGATTTCTTGAGTATTTAACGATACATTTGCCTTACGGTTTAATCCGCAAATCATGTTTTCAAGAGATTTAATGTCCAAATGTTTGATAACATGAGCATTAAAATCACGTATTAAAACAAACGTTTCTGCACATCCGTTACATTTGAAGCCTTCTGATTCTTCTGTAGCATTTGTGTTCAGTATTCGCATATTTTCATCGTTCTCTAAATTATCTTCGATTTTGAAGATGGGTGTCTCATCACTGGCATCTTTTTCTAACTTTGCCATATCCGACAATGTATGATCTTCGATTTGACTTTCTTCGTTCAATTCAACATCAAACATGTGTCTAGTTTCATTTGGATATCTACAAACAAAGAAGTATACATACAAGCAGCGTTTTGGCCTTATTATTTCATAAAAACAATTGCCCCCTCTCTTCCGACAATTACGGCATCATCATCAAGGCCCAACAAGGAAGCAATAAGTCATATCGAAAACAGGAAATCAAAATAGTGAAAAAATCAATCAATTCAAAGTACGACGGAAAACAACAGCACATACATTAAAATGTTTCAGAAACGTTAAAAGAATGTAGAATAAATAGGATTGAGGAAAATTAATTATAATTACTTTCAACTGGTCATCAATAAAGTTAGAATACCAGGCAGAAACCACTTAATTTTACATGTTGGTTGAATATTGGAAAAATACTTCTTGGAATTCAAGTTAGTATTAGCTGTTTGGGACTCTGCGTTTTATTATACGGCATTAGCTCGCATGTTGGGCCATGCTAAATGTACGGATTCAGGTGCATCTCTCATAAGACTGGCAACATCGTTGACAATTCAGGGTTTGGATTAAACTGCTCATAATGTAATTATTCTCATGAAATCGATTTTTTTCTCGGCATAGAATTCCATTACTGGTATGTTCGGACAATGGTTCAGAATTTTCTAATTCAGAGTTTGCTAAATTTGCTCAACAATGGGATTTTAAGCCTGTGGTCCCGTCTCTGAAGTATGTCATAAAAATGTAAAACTGAAGGTAAAGATCAGTATTTGGGGATTCCGAACCTGAGAAACACTGTTCTGTATGGAAAACATAGTCCTGCTTTTTCACCAATGAATAGGTATTTTAGGGATGATTTTCTAAAACCCAAATTTGGATTATGACTGTAGTAATAATATTACTTATTATTATAATAAAGTGAGTACGACAATTTTGAAGAGAAAAGGAAAAGAAGTCAAGAAATAGCGTTTAACAAAAATGGGACCTTGACAAGTTCAAAATAAAACTGAATTAACGCAACCCTGGAATATGGGGTAAATTATCAACAAAATTGTTGTCTTAGGTCTTACAGAATAGTGACGAAAAATGGATCTATGATAATAAGCAATAGTAAATTCCATAAAAAAAATTGTGGTCTCGCAAGTATCAGGTACTAAACCATCTAAATCACTAGGTACTGACAGTAATGTCTAAGTTGCTTCTAAACGACTGGGATCAAAATAAACAAATTCCTAGCCTCTAAAGTGAAAATTGCGACAGATGTAGTAACTACACCGCAGATTTGATCGCCATAAAATTTGAAGCGATGTAAGCCGGACTTACATCGCTGTAGGCTCGGTACAGCCATACAGAATTGCATTTTTATTTCATTTCTCGAGATGTTAATACAATATATAAACACATGTTAATACAATATAAACAGTTAAATGTCATAGAGAATCGCACCATAGGTATTCCAATACTTTAATTTGGACGCAAACGGTAACGGCGAACGCCAACGCAAACTGCAAGTTGATAAATCGGAATAAATACTTTCGATTGCTGCGCTAACTGACTCGAAAGGTTCAGCTTACTCATCATGCGGAAATTTTATTCTTGTTTCTAGAGCATTCTGCAACTGCGAGACATCGAGATGGTCTCGCACTGTCGGGTTCAATTACTTCTACGGAAAACCCACTACACTGCTGGACGGGTCGCAACAATTGCCCGCTTTTGGTGATAACGGGTACTAGCCTTACTGTCCCGTTACTTCCCGGCAGAATCTGAGATCCTGTTCCAATAGCCCACTTTATCTTTTTTTCATTATCGTTCCCCACAAGAAGAAGTTCACCCTCTGCAATACTACATATAGGTTTACATTGTGAAATTGCATGCAACTGTCCTAAATACTTGATCAGAATCTTCTACGAATATCTTATCTAATATTTTGAATACTAGCCGCCTATCGAATTCGGCAAGTACAATTTCAGTTTAATCTTTAATAAACATATCTTATGTTATTGGTACTATTTCACTGTTATCAGTTGTTGCATAGGTAACGTGAAAGAAGTGAATTTATGATTTCCTCACACTCACACATTAATGTCAATAAGTCTTCTTACTGGAGGGAGGAGTTTGGCTGCTGTTGTGTATAAAGAAAAATATCCTAGCTATCATGGTAATATAGGTAACGTTTTTGCGGGAATACGAAGTTGCTCATCAGCTTTCGTCAGATGAACAACAGCTCTCCAAACGATCCACTCTTTGACTGTTTCCTAATTTGTTACAAAGTATTTCACACTTGCGGTCCAACCTCGAGGTTGAAGCTTCACTAAGTGTGTGTTTTTGCCCTCCCCCAGACAAAGAAAGAAATTCGAGCTCGTGTCTCCCTCAGAGGCATGTGCAGGTCCCCCTTTTCGGGCTCCGGAAAGCCCCTCAGTGCAGTGCCGTTCAGGATAGAGTTCCTGGGTGCATTTTGTGATCGACATTGCCAGCTTGAAATACCAGAAGTTCCTTCCTCCAGCGCAACTTCCAACCAACAAAATGAGCTCCCGCGAGCGGAGCCCTTCAGGTTCCGATAGCGAAGACTCAAACGTGTCAGCAACGGAACAAGGTAAGCCTGCAAGACGCCCTGCCCAAAAACCCCGCACCCTGCTTTCTTTTAAAGCCAAAACCAAGGCGTCCGACCTTCAGTCGCTTCGCTTGGCAAATTCCAAACTTCAGGAAAGCGTCACTTCTCTCAAAAAGCAGAATCAACTGCTAGCCCAAAAACTTGCCGAGCAAGATCATAAGATCTCGCTCCTGCTCTCTGCCGTAGCCGAGGCACAAAAGCAAGCCCTCCCAAAAGCCCCCAGCAGCCACTCAGCCGAAAAAATGGAAGTCGACAACTTCCCGCCCCTGAAAGCCAACCCAAGGCTCAATATCCCGAAAACTTCAAACCCGGCACTCCACGAGCACATGGTCCAGCATGCGCAAGCCCCCCAACCCGCTAAAGCCCCTCAGACTGCCCCAGCCCCTGCCGCCACTTCGGCACCCCAGCCCTCAGGCCCTGCCACCACTTCGGCACCCTAACCACCCAAGTCCGCGATTCCCATCGTCATCAGGAACACTGCGGAATGGACTAAGGCCAGAAATCTCCTTGTGCAAAACAACTGCACATTCACTAACCCCAAAAAAGTAGCGTTGGGCATCCAGATCCACCCCAAAACCACAAATGACCACACAAATGACCACAGTGTCATCACTAAGCTTCTCGATCGAGAAAAAATTGAGTTTCACACTCACATCCTCCTTTAGGACAAAAAGTTGATCGCCATTGTCAAAGGGCTTTACAATCAAATGGCACTTCCCGAAATTCAGGCCGAACTCGAGGAACTAGGATTCACCCCTTCAGAAATCCAACTCTATAGAATGGGAAACCGCAAAACGGCGACCAATATGGTCAAAATGCTCCTCCCAAAGGAGCAAACCAGCATCTTTGAGGTCAAGTACCTCCTAAACCTGTCAGTAGCTATCGAACCCCAAAGGCATCCCCAAACAAACATCAGGCACATTCCTCAGTGCAAAAGGTGCCAAAAATTCGGCCATACAATGGCAAACTGCATGGCAAAACCATTCTGCCACAAGTGCGCCCAACAGCACTTCTACTCAGAATGCAAAAAGCCGAGAGACATCCCGGCTAAATGCATAAACTGGAAGGGTCCCCATCCGGCAAGCGACTTCTCTTGCCCCAAAAACCCAAACTTCCTTGCCCAAAAGCAAGAAAAAGCCAATACAGCCAGCTTCGAAAACAAAGTTTCGCCTGACATCTCCTACGCCGCCAAAGCTTCCGAAGCCCAGTCTCAAGCACCCCCAAATCCCACCGTTTCAAACCCCCCCGTTCAAGCTGCCCAAAAAGCCCCCCGTGAACCCAAAACGCCCCGACCCGCGCCCCACAGAACACCCGCATTAACCCTGCGCTAATGCAACTCCTCCTCATGCCTGAATGGCTGAGAGCGAAATCCAAGCCAAAATCAACAAAATTGCTGCCATGATTGGCAATTGCCCGGCTCTTCAAGCACTGGCATGAACTTAAAACCAGCCGGCGTCCACATCGTTTTCTGGAACGCCAACTCATTGTACCCCAAAAGGTACGAATTTGAAGGCTACCTCCGGGAAAACGATGTGGACATCGCGTTAATCCTGGAGACTTTTCTGCAAACTCAAACACTCTTCCAAATTAATAATTATAAAATCTACCGTAACGACCGCGCCAACAGTCGAGGGGGCGGCACTGCCATTATTGTCAAAAACTCCATTTCCCATTCCCCAAACCCCCCTATCGCCAACACCTCAATCGAACACACGTCGGTCACCCTTAACATGGAAAACTCCCAGATCCTCATTATTTCGGCCTACAAACCACCCCATAAACGTACAACCGAACTCGATTACTCGAACCTTCTCAATCGAAACATCCCGACATTACTCGCTGGAGGTTTGAACTCCAAAAACACTTCCTGGGGCTGCAGGAAAACAAACCCTGAGGGGCGCAAGCTCCTCAACTACGCACAAGACTTACAATTCCAAATTCATGCTCCCTCAGAGCCAACACACTATGACCACAATACCTCCGACATTCTCGACATTGCCATTTCCAAAGACATTTACCACATCCTCCACGTTACAAACTCCGATTCCCTTAGTTCTGACCACAACCCTATCATAATCGACA